GCGGTCGCCAGCTGCGCCACTCGCGGAGACCCCCCTCAAGCCTGGCGCCGGGCCCTCCGAGGAGTACGCGACCTCCTTCGACCCCCCTCCTTGGGGTGCTAGTGGCCGCAGGGCTCGGCCCCTCCTGGGCCTCCTCGCCCAGAGATGCGCGGGTCGAACACCAGCCCCCAGCCCTCGCCTTGCAGGCGCACGGTCTCTGCGGCAGTTTGCCGAGGCAGGAGCGGACGCTCATCGGCTCGACGCGCCCCTGGCCCAGGCTGGCGGGCTCTCCGCCTCCTCTGACCGCCAGCATCACTCTCCTGCGCTGGGCCGTGGCATCGCCCAGCTCCCCCACCTCCTCCCAGCTGTAGCCCTCGCTCCTGAGCCTCGCGCTGGCCGGGCTCACCTTAACCGCCCCTGGGTCGTCGGCGATCGCCATTGGCGCTCCTGCCTGGATGACGAACTCCGCCCAGCGCCTCGCCGTCATCATTGGTGAGGCCGGCAGCTACGACGCCCGCTCGCTCCGCCATCTCAGCCTTCCACTCTGCGACCCCTGGCGACCACGGGACATGTCCCGCCGTCGGGCCGCCCGCGGCGCTGCGCATCTACGCGATGGCTCCCCGCCTGGCGCTCGCCGTGCAGAGCGCACCCAGGGCTCGCCACTCGACGATCACGACGGCCTCGCATGGCGTCATCCTAAGCTCCCTCGGGCGACGCGGCTCCTTCCTGACCACTGCCAATTGATGAGCCACCCGCGCATCCTCGTCGCTTTGCCTCCCCAGATCAGCGCCCGACGCAGCCAACCCCTCTCTTGGTGGCTGGCCCAGCTGCCCTGCAGGTTGACGACCTCCAGGCCCTTCTCCTCCGCGGTCCTCCCGGCCCCCTCCTCCTCCACGCGCGAGAAAGTGTCGGCCGTGACGCTGTGGTATTCGCGGCAGCACGCGCTCGCGATCTCGTAGTCGTAGACAACCTCTACCTCAGCAGGTGACCACCGCGATCAGGAAGCTGGTGCAGCGGTTCCTTGCCCGTCTGTTCTGCAGCCAGCATCGCACGTTGCAGTTGTCCCCGCTGCACCACGCCCTGCTCCCACCAGCCTTTTGCCCCAGCCTTGGCGGCGAAGGTGGCCAGATTCATGAACTCCGCGATCGCGACTATGGCCTCCTCCTCCTCCTCGATTTCCACGGCTTCTCTGAGCGCGCCCATGAATTCCCGAGCGGAGTGGAATAGCACTTTTGGAATTGACCCAGTCCACGGTGGCGACGCGCTCCGGCGCGGCGCCCCCCGTAACCCAAAGCACTCGATAGGGTGCTCCAGGCAAGGCCAAGCGCTGTTTGACCGTCAGAGCGCCTGACAGGCGCGGTCTGCCAGAAGTTAGTCCAAATCCGTGGTTTGCCAGAAGTTAGTCCAAATCAGCAGGCCCTTTGCGCCTCCTTCCTCGGGCCCTGCTAGACGCCTCGGGCGCCCCCTCACCAGCGCATCCGTTGCCCCCGCCAGGCATCGCATAGCAGGCATGACCAAACTCCGGCAGTGCTGATCTCCCCGGTACACCTCCAAGAAATTCCAAGGGATGCGTTGCTGGCCATAGTCCAGGGGCGGGTCCGCCAGGATGTACGCCGCCTTCTCGATCGCAGGGGCTGGCATCTCGATCGCGCCATCCCTTGCACGGTACAGGAGGCCCCAGCATATCTTGTCGGTGTCCAAATTTCCTTCCTCCAAGTCCTTCTCCTTCTTTGTCGCGTCCTCGCCCAAGCATGTCCTAATGCCCTCCAGCGCTGCGGCGCCGCTCTGAGCAGCGCGAGTGCCGATGTCGGGCTCTACTAACTCCTGGTCGCCCATCAGAAGCGAGCTGTGGAACGGGACGGCGTCGCCCCTCTTGGTGTCTGCCCGGCGATAGGCTGCATAGTAGCACTTGGCCACCCAGGTCCATATCATCCACTCGCCTGGGCTGCCTGTCCAGCCGAAGGTGAGCACCGCGTAGACAGCCGCGATGAGGGCAGCCACCCCCCACTTGCCTCCCTCGAGGTCGGCCCCGAAAATGCGGGCGTCTATCTGGTGCATCACCACCCAACGAAACGCGTCTTCGGCGTCCTTCGTGGCCAGGTAGAGCTCAACGACAGGCAGGCGGGCCTTCCACCATAGGATGATACGCGCCAAGTCCTCGTGCCTGGGTTGGTCTGCTGAGGGGTGGCCCTCCTTCGGGCAGCTCTCGTTGGGCACGGTGCCGTCCTATATCAACCTGCTTTTGTCGCTCATGGTGCGGTCGGGGTTTTGCCTGGGCACACGTACCATCGGCGCACGCACCACCTTGCTGAGTAGATGCTCGTGGACGTTGGTACACAACAAGACCCTGCCCTTGGCCACGTCTTTCCAGAGGGCGCTCATAACCTCGTCCAGGTGATCCATTGCGCTAGGGCGCGGCACGACCTTGAGGCGCGTCGGCGCGCCTCTGAACCGTAGCCGCGCCTCTCCCACCAGACCCCACGCATCGCCACGATGGCCTGCTCAAGCGAGCCCGCCTCCTCGAGCACGGCGTCGCCCAATTCCAACAGCCTGTTGACCGAGTCCGGGTCATACTCCTGGTGCTCCTGGAGAAGATCGTAGTATGCGCCTGTTGCCTTGGCTTTGGTCTCCAGCGTGGTCTCCTCACCTCCCTGCTCCACCTCTCATGCCCTCGTGGACTCCTCGCTGCCGCCTGGGAGGGCCCCGACCTCCTCGCGCTGAATTCCTGCCCCCCCCTTCGCGTTGATGACCGCCAGTTCCACTGCCTTCACCTTGTCTTCGGGCCAGCTTGATCCGCTCTATCACCGTCTGTGCCACAAGCTCGGCCATCCCGCGCGAGTAGGTATCGCTCCTCTTGGTGACTGCCTTGCCCTGGACCGTGTCGCGCACGCGGTTAGCGCTGCACCGCACGTTGAGAGCCTGAGCTATATATCCCCAGACGTCGTAACGATACGCGTCGGCTTGAGATGAAGCCCTTCCGCTGCTCTGCGTAGGTTGAGAGCGCAGTGGTCAAGCCGCACTTGCTGCCACCCGAGGTCCGCTAGCAGCCGCCTGCGGAGCCTCCTCCTCCTCCTCCTCCTCCACTACCTTGCTCCTCGAAGGCAGTCGCTGGGCGCTGTCCGAGTAGTGGCTGGAGTAGTAGTACCCGTAGTCTATCAGGCATTCATAGCTCTGGCCCAGGATCGGCGACGGGCTCGGCGCGTCTGCTGACCCACTGGGCTCCTCTGGGCGCTCGCCCGACTCGGCCATGGCTGGTGGCGGACTCGTAGTCGGGGGCCCTTCCAGGGCGGGGCTCGCTGCCTCCTCGGGTCCCGCGAGCTGCGCGTCTGAACCCGCTGCGGCCAGCGGCGTCTCCTCGCCCATCGCAGCGCAGCCCGGGGGGGTCGTCCAGGTTGTCCCTCGCGGCTGCCTCGCTGCCGTCCTCCTTTGGGCTGCCTTACCGTCGTCGGCTCGGGCGTGGCCGCTCTCTGGTCCGCGGTACGTGGCCGTCGCGGAGAAGCCGGCGTACAATCCCACGCCCAGCGACGCGTCCAGCCACGTCAGCATTGCGAAGATGGTTGTCGCGACGCTGCACTCCAACGTGTGGAACGGTTGCATCCTGCGCAGCCGTGGCAGGCCGCGCAACCCCTCTGGTCGCCGCCTGCACTGGAGGGGGGACCTGACCCAGCCACTACCCAGCACTCCTTGGACTGCCTGGCTTGGGCCTCCAGGCCGAGCAGGAGAGCTATGGCCCCGCCCGCCCACCCCAAACAAAAGAGAGATGGTTCCGCATGGAGACTTGAGCGAAAAGGGCAGCGGAAGAGGGCAGGCAACTGGAGGAGGCTACAACTGAAGAGAGAACCTCTGTTCTCGCGAACGTCCACGTATTCCGAGATGTTCCCGGTGGACGGCCGTGGGAGCTTAGTGGGCGCCCCGTGGGCTGGGCGGGTCTGCCGAGGGTTCGCCTGGTGAGCGGCCGTGGGCGCCTCGAGCCGCCCTTCGCTGTGGGCTCGGGTCCCTTCAAGCCCCATCCCAGGTCCCACGACGACTGCAAAACGACCTGGATTAAGAACCAGTTTCGGGGGCAGGATGGGTTCGAGAGTTGCTCCAACATTCCCTTCGAAGTTCGAAGCTTGACGATATAGACACGTATTCCGCCCGCTAAGGGCCACCCCGTCGCGTCTGGATAGTCGTCTTAATTCCCCTCTTCCGCTCTCCCTTTTGCCTTCACGGCTCACCTTTTTTCCCTGTCCTCTTTCTATCCCACCATACCCTCCACCTTCCCCCACCCCCCGAAGGAAATCATCTCTTATCCTGCTTCTCTTCTCCTCCCCCTCCTCTTCCTCCTGCTCCTGCTCCTGGTTCTACTCCTCCTTCATCAGCATCATCACCACCACCATCAACAACAACAAGAACAAAAACCGCAGCAGCAGCAGCAGCCGTGTCATCATACTCATCTTCAGTGTCATCATCAGTGGCAAAATCATTGACATTGTCATTGTCATTGTCATCGTTACCACCATTATCACCACCACCATTACCATCAACACCATCATCATCCTCGCCATCATCAGCAGCAGCATCAGCAGCGTCATCATCACCACCCGCATCGTCACCATCCTCACCAGCAATAACATCAGCATCGTCATCATCACCATCGTCATCCTCACCATTGTTAGCATCATCAGCATCATCAGCATCATCGTCATCATCATCGTCAGCAGCATCGTCATCACCATCCGTGCCCGCATCCGAATCTGCGTCCGCATCATCCTAATAATCCTCATGATCATCATCATCATCATCAGCAGCAGCATAGATAGTCATCATCGGAGTCGTTATCATTATCATCAGCATCATCATCAGCAGCATCATCATCACCATCGTCCTTCTCTCCTCCTCTTCCTTCCTCCTCGTCGTGCCCCGCTCCGCCGCCGCTGTCGCTACCTCCGCGTCGGTTCCCCCCCTCGGCCTCCTCGGCCTTCACCCACCTCCCACTCCCCGCCGTCGCCGCCGTCATGATCGCCTCATTCTTCGCCCGCAGGAAGGGGGTACACAGGCGCGCGCGCGCGCGCGCCCTTTCATGTCGGCCCGCGCACCCAGACCCCGACCGCGGCTATGGGCGACGCGGGCGCTGCTGCAGTGGACCTGGGCTACGCGAGAAGCAGGTTCCCCGATCCTGGCATCGCTCGGACGTGTGTATTCTTTCCTCGGCGAGGACCCTTGAGGACCATCCTGGACCATCGAGCAAAAAAAACACGCACGAAACCGGAGAGTGCACGGGAAATGGACGTCCGAGCGACGGCAAGTGATGGATGGGTCGGAGGTTGGCAGAAAGCCCACCTTGCCAAGTCGAGCAGCGAATTGCCTTCCTGTCGGCCCTCGAGAGGGCGTTGCGGCCGCAACGTTTGCCGACCTGCGCCCGAGGGGTCTGGTCCCGGATCGTCTTCACTAAAGGTGTGTCGCTGAAGGGGGCGTTGTTTCTCCTCACCCCAATGAGACGGAGGACGAGCGTTCGGGCCACGTGGGAAGCAGAGTGGCCCACTGGCTGTGGGCGGGTAAATGATCCAGAAGCCTGGCTGCAAGCAGGCACCCCACAGAAGCCTCTCATCCAACCGGTGGCGTTTGGGGTCTTCTGGTTTTATGGTGCTTCTTGCGAAATTTCGCGGGTGACTTCTGGTATGTTTCGATTGCGAAGGGTGCCATTCGGACCATCCCGCCACGGTGCCCAGTCCGTGGATCAGAGGTATCTTGGAGGCCTCTAGGGGGGGTCTCTTGACGGTCCTAGGTCCATCTTGGAGGGCATACTTCCAGCGGTCTTGCGGAGGCGCGCCTTTTGGGTCTCATTCCTTTTATTGATTTTCTGCACGGTCCTCCACATCCCTGTCTAACATCCCTTAGAACATAAAGAAACCCCGTAGAACACTCAAACAACGATTGGATATGTTCAGAGCTACACGAATGCTTCATCCTTCCCCCTTTTTTCATAGTAGCAGTGAGAGTCGCGGTTTGGAGCTGCTCTCATGTTGAGGGTCGTCTTACCCGCTCGCGCTGTGGTCTGCGTTTCTGCCGTCCCACCAGGGTAGTTGGGGAAGAGGAGGAGGAGAAGAAGGAGATAGAGGAGAGTTTTCGAAGGCTTCAGCGAGCCCTCGCATACTATAGGTTGTCGGGGGAGGATGAGGAGAAGGACGATGAGGAGGAAGAAGAGGACCAGCGCCGACCCGCCGCAGCGGCTCAGCCTTCAGCTTCTGACGTGTTCCCAGCAGGTTGCTCGGCGCGCCCGTGCGCAAGCAGTTGGGCGGCGCTTGGCTGAAGGAGAGCGGTTTGAAAGCTTAGAGGCAGGGAGAACAGAGTGACAAGAGGAAAGATAATGAGCTACGTAGGGCCATGAACTTCGCGCTGGAGGAATCGGGAAGTTGACATCTCTACTTCGGCGGAAGCCGACGCAGGTTCTGCAGAAGTCGGCGGAAGTCAAGCATTGGTATATCTTCGCCGGCGGAAGCTCGGCAGACGTTGGGGAAAGTACAACCACACCCGCGAGGTAGGTGGATTTCCAGAGTCAGCCACGAATGGTGGAAAGAGCGCGAGCGTGAGGAGGAAGAGGGAAGCAAAAGGATGAAGCCGACGGCGGAAAAGGGAAATGAGTTGGGGAATACACCTTATTGCCACAATGTGTATAGAAATATGTATATGTGTACGGGTGTGCATATGTATGCACGCGTGTATGTGTGGATATGCAGTTGTATGGTTAGTTGCAGACTTATATGTACATATGTATGTGCATGTACGTTGTATGTATATGTGTGTACAGTGGCATGTCTATATCTATGTACATATATACATGGTGTTTGTGTATGTGTGTATAGACATGTTTGTGCATGTGTGCATGTATGTGTACAGTTGTTATGTGTATTGTGCTACGCATGTATGTGCCTGAATGTGCATGTGTGTATGTATGCACGTATCTTTTCATGCACACAATCATCGGAGGAATTGTATATGCGCGAGTCGCACAGCTCCCGATGTCGCGTTGTGTTGTGTGTTGATATGCACACTATATGAAGCATGATTATTTTAGTGGTCACCTCTGATCATTGCATGGCATGGCATGCGCTGCAGGAGGAATTGCCCGCACATGGTACAAGTTGCATTGATGTCCTGGTGTGCAGATACATTTTTTACGTAGCACGAACTATATGATGGATGGTGTATGGCATTGACTATTCGAATTTTTCAGTTGTGTGCATATTCCTCCAACGTGCCGCGATTGTTTGCAACGAAGAGTCTTACAACCAAAAGGGTCACTTTGAAATATTGCAGCTAAGGTGAAGCAAGAGAGACCCAGGACGCCATGACCTGAGAAGTAGCGACGGTTTCGTCGCAGGATTTCTCGGTTACGTGGGGTCGCCTTTCAAACGGTGGCGACTTGGGCTCCTAAAGTTGGCGGCGGCTTTGCCTGCATAGCGTTCGGATTCGATAATTTATACACAGGCTCTGAAGCCGCAGGCTTACATATATAGAGAAAAAACATGGTGACGTATTCATTCGCAGCGACGGACTTGGGATCGGTTGATTGTTGGATCAATCATTGCTTTGGGGTCTCCACGGTGACCGCCGCCGGACCGCCCGACAGCCAATTGGTCTCGAGGCCCGGAGCATCAGCGACTGTGAGGGCACTGCACGTGGGCCTGTTGCCCGCGGTCGTTCACTGAAAGCCAACAAGATGCACGGAGCCAGGAGCGTTCGTGGAACACGAGGGCAGGCAGCATCTTCGCGCGGGCGTTGGCCGAGTTCCACCCACATCGGAGACGTTCTGGTCAGCGTCTGGGGGTGGGGGAGCACCCTGAGACCCCGAGTGCCGTGTCCGAGCGGAGTGGTTGCCGGAAGTTCGAGCAGAGGTCGGGAACCAGACACAAGAAACATGTGTTTCTCTCGATTATGGCCAGCGGTCCAATCATCCACGAGGCACGTGGGCCAAGAAAACAGGGGACAGGGGCTGCGTGGCCCGATAGAATGCTGGCCGTCGATGGTTTGGGAAGGGATGGTTGGGGGAGGACGATCGGAGTAAGTTCGGCTCGTGGGCGCACGACGCACGGGCCTTGGCCTCAGCAAGTGAGGGGGGAACGAAGGGGGCGAGGAAGAGAGCACGGAGAGGACAAGAGCAGGCACGAGGGGAAGGTGGTGGGGGACTGGGAGGACAAGGATAATGAGGATGATGAGGAGGATGGAAGATTCCTCTCGCTTCGCGGGGTGCACGTCCGGAGCACGTACAGTCACGTCGTCGCGGGGCCTCTTGGGAGCCTCCTGGGGGCCTCCTGGAGGCCTCTTGGGAGCTTCTTTGGGCCTCTTGGGGGCTTCTTTGGGGCCTCTCCCCCCCCTCCTTTTCATACTCCCTCCCCATCTTCCCTTCCAGCGCCGGCTCTAATCATGCGCGCCGCCGTGATCAACTTCCACCTGGCTGGCGCTGCGCCGTCGTTCGCCCAGGGGGGGAAATAACATTACGCTCCAGTCGTTGTGTGACCTTGCGGGGGCTTCTTTGAGGCCTCTTGGAGGCTTCTTGGGGATTTCTTGGGGGCCTCCCTAGGTTTTTTGGGGGGAGTTCCTTGGGGGCCTCTTGGGGGCCTCTCGGGGCCTCTTGGGGGCATCTTGGGCCGTCTTGGGGCGTTTTTGCGCCGTTCCGCCCCTTCGGAGGCCGTCTTGGGGGCCTCTCGCGGCCGCCTTGGGGTTATCTTGGGGTCCTCTTGGGCCGTCTCAGGGTTTTTGGGGACCGCCTTGGGGGCTTCTTTGAGCCGTCTTGGGGCCCTCCTGGGTCGTTTGGGGCCCTCTTTGGAGCCTCTGGGGGCCTCTTGGGACGTCTTGGAGCTGTCTTTGGGCGCTCTTACGCCGTCTGGCCACTTCGGAGCCGCCTTGGGGCTCTCTTGGGGTCCTCTGGGGCCGTCTTGGGGGCTTATTGGGCCGTCTTGGAGGTTTTTTTGGCCGTCTCGGGGCCCTCTTGGGCCGTCTTGGGGCCCCCATGGAGGCCTCTTGGGCCGTTTGGGTTTGGGGGCCTTCTTGGAGGCTGCTTGGGCCGTCATGGCCTTCTGAGAGCCGACAGGCGAGAACGTTGAAATTGTCCCAATACTCTAGGAAAATCAAAGATTTTGGCCTCCGGAGGCGCTCTCGGGAGTCTTCTTGGGGGCCTCTTGGACTTTTTTGGGGGCCTCATGGGCCCTCTTGGGGCCATCTTGGGCCGTCTTGAGGTCAGCTTGGTCTGTCTTGGGGCCATCTTGGGCCATCTTGAAACCTTCTTGGGGCCCCAAGAGGCCCAAGAGGCCAAATTTGTTGATTTCTTATAGGTTTTGTTGGTTTTTAGGCCCACAAGGGGCCCTCCACCTTTGGGTCGACGGAAGTGGCGCGACTCCGGGGGGGAAGAAGGGGGGGAGAGATAACAATGTAACGCAATGCAATATGTAGCATTTACGCAATCATTGGATACATCGGATACGTTGCATTAGGGCTTCCGCTCCGCTCCGCGACCTGTCTCCGGCAACACGTCACTTCCGGACGTGGATTTTTCAAGCTTGCGCCACATCCGCCGACCCCTTAATTGAAGTCAATGATCAGATGGTTCGAAACCTTTTGGCGGTCGTTTTGGGGTTCTTGTCGGGTTTCTTGGGAGCTCTTCGGGGCCTGAGGGGGGCATCTTTGGGGCTATTCGGGCTATTCCTGGGCTCGTCTTCGAGCTCTCTTGGATTTCTTTGGGCTCTTCTTGGACTGCTTTGGCGTCCTCGCGGGCCGTCTTGGGGCTTTTTGGGCCCCCAGGGGTACTTTTTGGGTGCCCCTGGGGGTTCCTGGGGGCGGAAAGCTAGATTTTGTAGATTTGTGGTGGCCCTTTGGGGCTCTTCATGGAAGTCTTGGAGTCCTCTGGGGCCGTCTTGGGGGCCTCTTGGGCCGTCTTGAGGCCATCTTGGGTTTGGGCCGTCTTGGGGCCGCCTTGGGCGCCTCTTAGGCGGTTTTGGGGCGGTCTTCGGGGCCTCCTGGGCAGTCTTCAGGGCTCTCTGGAAGGCAGTTTTGGCGCCACTTGGGAACCGTTTCTAGGCTCTGGGAGTCTTATGGTGGCCCCCTGGGGGCCTTTTGGGAGTTCCTTGGGGCGTTTTGGCCGCCTTTTGGGGGCCTTTGGCGGCCTCTTGGGGCACTCTTCCGGCTCCCTGGGGCTCCCGAGGGCGGACAAGTAGAATTTTGAATTTTTGGTCGCCCTCTTCGTCTCCTCTTGGTGCCATCTGGGAGCCTTCTTGGGCCGTCTTGGGGCAGTTTTGAACCGTCTTGGGGCCATATTAGGCCGTCGTGGGGCCGTCTTGGGGTTTTTTTTTGGGGTGTCTTGGGGCGGTCTTCGGGGCCTCTTGGGCCGTCTTGGAGCGTCGGAAAGCCCACACGGCGAAAGTGTAAAAAATATACGTTTTACAAAGGAGATGAGCAAATTTTTGCGTCTAAGGACCCTATTGGGACGCACCTTGGAGGCCTCTTAGGGGCGTCTTGGGCCATCTGGAGGCCATCTCGGGTGTCTTTGATCGCTCTTGGACCGTCTAGGACCATGTGGAACTCTCTTGGAAGCCAGTTGGAGCGCTCTTGGGGCCGTCTTCAGGGCTCTCTTGGGCCGTCTTCGGCGCCTCTGGAGCCGTCTTGGGCCCCTCTTGGGCTGTCTTGGGGCCCTCTTGGAGGCGTCTTAGACCGTCTTGGGGCGGTCTTGGAGGCCTCTGGGGCCGTCTGGGAGCGGTTAGAGGCCCTCTTGGGACGTATCTTGGATGCCTCTTGGGGCCTCTTGGGGGCATCTTGGACCGCTGGAGGCTATCTTCGGTGTCTTTGATCGCTCTTGGACCGTCTGTGACCATATTGAGCTCTCTGGGAGGCGACTTGGAGCGCTCCTGGAGCGCTTTGGGGGCCGTCTTCGGGGCCCTCTTGGGCCGTCTTGGACGCCTCTTGGGCTGTCTTGGGGCCCGCTTGGGCTATCTTGGGACCCTCTTGGAGGCTTCTTGGGCCGTCTTGGGGCGGTATTGGGGCCCTCTTAGGCCGTCTGAGAGCATCGGAAAGCCCAGAAGGCGAATGTATGAAAAGTGTAGGTTTTACGAAGAGAATGTGCCAATTTTTGCGTCTAGGGACCCTCTTGGGACGCATTTTGGAGGCCTCTTGGGGCCTCTTGGGGACCTCTTGGGCCGTCTTGGAGGCCTCTGAGCCCATCTTTGGGCCAGCTAGGGCGTCTTGGAGCACTCGTTTAGCGTCTCGGGGCCCTCGTGGGCCGTTTTGGATGCCTCTTGGGGCTTTCTAGGCCCGTCTTGAGGCCCTCTTGGGCCCGGGAAAGCTTCGTGACGCGCTCGCCCGGGGCGAGGGGGGGGGGTCAAATCTCCGGTTTGGGGTCCCTTGGGGGGGGGGTATGGGGGGGGAACTATCTCACACGCCTAGTGACCCACAAGGGGTCGGCGGACTCAAAAGACAAGGAAGGACGGGCGAGGCGGAGCGGGAAGAGAAGATAGCGTCGACAAACCAAGTGGCCCCAAGGGACGAGTGATCGCGGAGGAGGCAGAGGCTAGCGACGGCGAGACGGACTTCCGCGTGGTCTACGAGGATGGCGAGGAAACAGTCATGCCGGAGTCCGAGGCTGCAAGCGGTGGGAAGGAGGTCGGTTCGAAGGAGGCAGGACGGCAGTCAGCGGGTGGAAACGGCGCACGTTTCCAGCCCTCCGTGGCGCGCAGGGGCAACGCAGGGACAGCCCAGGGGCATATTCAGCACCACTCTGCAGCGGCCCCCCGCCCTTTGGGGGTGATCCAGCTGCGCCGCCGCGCACAGCCGCCACCGCGCTGCGGTGGAGGGGAGGGGAGTTGGCCGGGGCCCGGGGGCGGCCCAACCGCCCGCGGGCCCTTTCCTGCTCACCGTCTGGGCCCCGCTCCTCGGCTAAACATAAGGGTGACACATCGTCGCGGTGACCTTTTGTGCGGGCCCACAGGTGTCCCCACAGTTCTGGCCTGCGCGCTTGGACTTGCCGCCCCCCCACCGCGGCCCCCGCAATGAAGCCACCGAGGAACCTCACATACACATTTCAGGTCCTGCGAGGTCGCTCACCTCCCCTTAGAACATATCGCTGGCTCCGCCGAGCACGTCAGACTGCAAGACGAACAAGCGAAGGGTAGGTACATCTATCTCGTAGCTCGGGTAGCCGTTGGAGTACCTGATGTCGGAGGCCTAGAGGTTGACACCAACACCAATATCCAGGAAGGGTCCAGTTCGGCTCGGTTCGGTTAGGTTCCGAAGTGCGTCGGGTTTGGTTCGGTTCGGTTCGGTGTCGGAATTATCTGGTTCGGTTCGGTTCGGTTCGTCGTTCTGAGGGGTGCCGTCCTGTTCGGCCTGGTTCGCCATGCGTTTCGCTCCGGTTCCGCCCGGTTCGCCACAGAGACAAGGACAGAGACAAGGACAAGGACAGGGACAAGACAAGGATAGGAAGATCAGGCCCCCGGGGGGCCTCCGGGACTTGCAAAATCGCCTCCGGGACTTGCAAGCTGGCCTCATGGACTTGCAACAACGCGCCCGGGGCTTGCAGGACTTTCAGAATCGTTTCCGGGATTCACACCTGAGATGTTCATAATTAGTTTTGGTAGTGATCTTCCAGATATTGCCTTGATCTTCCAGATCTTAATTTGACCTGCGAGATGTTACATAACTTGAACGGTGCAAGTTGTGGAAGATACGGAAGTTAGTTTTTTGTTGTTTGGAGCATTTTTACAGCGTGTAAGTTACGGGGAAGTTAGGTTTGGGAGTGGTTCTAGTTGTGGCAGTTGCGTTGTAGTTTGTCCTTGTGTTTGTTGCTATGCTTCCCATGTTTTGAAAATCATGCGTTACGAACATAGGTGTTCTACCATTTCTTTCTTCACAGAAAAATGCTTTATGCCTGCCCCCCATACCGTTGTATTGATGTTTTTGTTCTCGAGCGCTTTGCGCTGCCAGCGTTTCATGTGTTCATGTTTGTGGCACTATCCAGCGCTTCGCGCTGCTCCTCCCCCCATCCAGCGCTTTGCGCTGCTCCTATCCCCCCAGCGCTTGCGCTGTTCCCCCACCAGCGCTTTTGGCACTATCCAGCGCTTTGCGCTGCTCCTCTCCCCATCCAGCGTTTTGCGCTGCTCCTCCCCCCAGCGCTTGCGCTGTTCCCCCACCAGCGCTTGCGTTGCTCCTGGCACGCAGGAGGAGGAGGAGGAGGAGGAGAAGGAGGAGGGGGAGGAGGAGGAGGAGATGGGGGGAGGAGGAGGAGGAGGAGGAGGAGGAGGGAGGAGGAGATGGGGGGGGAGGAGAGGGGAGGAGGAGGGGGAGGAGGAGGAGGAGGAGGAGGCAGGAAGACCCTCGCAGGACGTCGGCCTCCACGCTCGTGGCACGCTCTTGCGCGGGGAGGAGTAGGAGGAGGAGGGGGAGGAGGAGAAGGCGGAGGATCGTCGGCCGCCCCTATCCCCCTCCTCCTCCCCCTCCTCATCCTCTTCCTCCCCCATCCTCCTCCTCCTCCTCCTCCCCTTCTCCTCCTCCCCTCCTCCTCCTCCTCCTCCTCCTCCCTCCTCCTCCTCCTCCTCCTCCTCCTCCTCCTCCTCCTCCCTCCTCCTCCCTCCTCCTCCTCCTCCTCCTCTTCCTCCTCCTCCCCCTCCTCGTCCTCGACCATCCTTCCTCATCCTCTTCCCCCCCTTCTTCCTCCCCCTCCTCGTCCTCCCCCTTCTCCCTCCCCCTCCTCCTCCTGCCCCCCCATTGGACCATTATTGGGGCCCTCTTGGGCCACGCGCTTCCTGCCCCCATGGTTTCGGCCTCCAGGGAGCAGGGGGGGGGAAGGGAGGAGGAGGAGGACAGGAGGAGGAGGAGGAGGAGGAGGAGGAGGTGAGGAGGAGGAGGAGGCGGAGGATGAGGAAGGGAGGTGGAGAGGAGGAGAGGGGGAGGGCGAGGGGAAGGAGGAGGAGGAGGAGGAGGTGGTGGAGGAAGAGGAGAAGAGGAAGAGGAGAAGGAGGAGGAGGCAGAGGAGGAGGCAGTGGAGGAGGGAGGAGGAGGAGGAGGGAGGGGGAGGAGGGGAGGAGGAGGAGGAGGAGGAGGAGGAGGAGAGGGGGAGGAGGCGGAGGGCTGCCCCCCCCCCCCCTCCTCCCCCACGCTCGCCGCCGCGCGCCTGCGCCGCGGCTCCCTCCTCCGCGCTCGCCGCCGAGAATGGGGGCGTGGGCCACGCCATCCTCCCTCCTCCCCCCTCCTCCCTCCCTGGTGCTGCGGTGCGCGCCCCCCTCCCCCCTCTCTCCCCCTTCCCTCCTCCTTCCCTCCCCCCTCCATCCCCTCCTCCCTCCTTCCTCCCTCCTCCTTCCCGCTTCCCTCTCCCGTCCACAACTATTCAAAATGAATACTACTCCTCCTTCCCTGACGGGTTGGGAGTGTTCGCCCCCCCCCCCCCCGCGTATTGTTTTTTACACACAGGATTTCCTGGAGTTGGGTGTTCGCCTGCATTTGTTCAAAATGCTGCTCTCCCTGGGGCGCCGGCCTCATTTTCGGGCCCCGCTCGTTCCGAATCGTGCTCCCGCTGCAGCGCTGGCCTCATTTCCGTGCTTCCGCTCGTTCCGAATCGTGCTCCCGCTGCAGCGCTGGCCTCATTTCCGCGCTTCCGCTCGTTCCGAATCGTGCTCCCGCTGCAGCGATGGCGTCATTTCCCGTGCCATGCCACGGCATGCAATGCAATGCTCGGTTGCGTTCCGCTGCGCGAAGCCATGCCTTCATCTGACGCTGTGATATGCATTGCTTAAGTGCCACGTCGTGCTATGCCATGCTACGCTATGATGCGTTCACCGCCATGCTATGCAATGTTATGTTCGGGGCCGCTGTGCGATGCCATGCTTTGCGTCGCAAAGTTTTGCGATAAAATTCTTCACTACGCCACGCCACGCCATGTTGTGACATACTACGCTTTGCGGTGCTCTTCTACGCCATGCCACGCCGTGTTCTACAATGCATCGCGTACCCTTTTCGGGATCATTGCCGTGCTCGACATCCGACTGTGCGAGTAGAGAGGGGATCTGCGCCATGGTAAGGGATGGGAGCGCACCTAGTTTGCTCCCTCCCCCCTCCCCCATTTTCGGACCCCTCCCCCCCCTCCCTCCATCCATCCTCCCTCCCTCCCTCCTCCTCCCTCCCTTTTCCCTCTCTCCCTCCTGGGTCGGCGCTGGACCCCCCGCCATCGTCGTCGTGATCGTCGCAGGCTGCCAACGCGCGTCGCAAGCTGCCAACGAGCGTCCGCGGCCACTAGCCGTGCGAAGGCGCGGCCGGGGGTGTTATCGGGCGGCCGCATATTCGCTCGGCTAGCGGCCGCGGACGCGCGTTGGCAGCCTGCGACGACCCCTCATCATTCACCTCCTACCCCCCTCCCTCCTCCCTGCTCCCCCCATCCTCCTCCTCCTCCTCCCCCCCTCCTCCTCCTCCTCCTCCTCCTCCTCCGCCTCCCCCCCCTCCTCCTCCTCCGCATCCTCCCTCTCCGTAGCCATTTCGGCTCAAGATGCAGGTTTCCCCTGGGAACCAAGCGGGTACCGCTAGTCCGCGGCTGGCAAGACTTCTTAAAGTCTGGTGGTCTCTCTCGCTCGCCTTCCCTGCGCTTGGGTCGGTGGGTAAACCGAGGCGTTTCCCGTTCCTGTCGGCCCGAACGCACCAGTACCTGCCGCCATGCCGCCGAAGCTGGCCGCGCGCAAGCCGCCGAAGAAACGGAGGCCGCGCTCAGATACACCTGCTGGTGAGGAGCCTGAGGCAAGCGACGAGCACGTGTCTGGGGGCGCCGCTGAGCCTGTTCGCCTGCCCGCAGCTGATGCAGAGGGTGCCGCCCATGAAGGTAATATTGTCGCCCCCTCTGCCGCTGCTGAATGGGGCGATGGCCCTGGCATGGAAGATAATTGGGACGAAGGCCAGGCGGAGTACACGAGCTTCCTCGCCAAGGATGAGGCCACCAAGCTCTTGCGCGACTACAAGTCAACGATGCTCGAGACCATCAAGTCCACGGTTAACGAAGCGGTCTCTCCCTTCGCAGAGCAGCTCACGAAGCACGCAGAGTCCACCGCCTTGCTTGCCAAAGGTGTCACGGACCTACCGAAAGTGGTGGATGAGGCGGCGAGCAAGCGTCTGGATGGTCAAAATCGTCGTCTCCAGGAACAACTCGACGGTTTCCACGCCCGCACGCGCGCCGCGTAGTCAAAGATGTACGACCACGACACGGCCATCTCATTCTTCAAAAGCGAGATCCAGAAATTGCACGCTGCTCGCAGTCGCCAACGACGCCCCGAAGGTTCCCCTGGGCAACACGGCCGGCTTCGACCGCGACACCGACCCGTGCATCATCAAGGCTATCGCCGCCAAGCTCACTGCCCTGGGCAATGTCAAGCCGCCCCTCACCGACTGGATTACCGTCGGCGCTGCCGCGAAGCACTTCGCCATCAACTCCCCAGAGGCCATCAGCCGCAGCTTCTCGATCGAGATCAACGGCGCCAAAGGTCCTGCGGCGAGGCGTGCCAATCAAGTTCTCAACGCTCAACGTCTCAGCCCTGGGCAGTGGAAGCGTTTCGAGGCCATTGCGGCGGACGGGCTGCCCGCAGCGTTGCATGTCGGCCCCGACAAAA